CTCCGCGTCTCCGCATCCCCTAGTGCCGGGCGAGCAGCTCCACTAGAAAGCCACTCTCTCTCTCCGACCCGCTGCAAGGCCGTCCCGCCTCTCCCCATAGGGATTTGGGACCTCAGAATCCTGCCCCAAACAAGCTCAGTGGATTCGAGAGTTTGTAACCCCTTCTGACTGAAAAAAAAAACGCGCATCCACTTGCAGCCTGCCTGGCGCGCGACTCCGTACCTCTGCTCTTGGCGCCTCTGCACATCCTACTCAGTCTCAATGCTTTTCTTTCTTTCCTTCCAGTTGTAGAGCTTCCACTGGGCCAGCTTTCCCATGGTTCTGAATGATAGCTGTTTGTCTTATAGTTGGTAGTTTCAATGTTGTTGTGGGAGGCAGCACGCACAAGTCTATACCTTACGCCGCCATCTTGGTTCCTCAGTTTTTTATATTTTTTCATTATCTTTGTTCAATTGTTAATTATTGAGTCAGTTGTATTAAAATTTTTTTCTCATTATAATTATGGGTTTTCTGTTTCTTCCTGTAGTTTGTCTATTTCTGCTCCAAAATATATCCTGAATTCAACCCCTTCTCGCCAAGTCTACCACCATTCGGTGATCTCTCGGATCAGGGCTGCAGCCTCCTCGCTGGCGTACCAGTAATCTTCTAAAAACATAAATTAGATCAGTCCCCTATTCAGAACCTTCCCGTGGCTTCCGATCACACTTGGAATAAAATCCAAACTCCTTACCAAGACGGTGAGGCCACCTGCTCTGCCCAGCCCCCTCTCCACCCTCATCCCCAGTCTGTGCACAACTTCCTCCTCCCTGGTCCACTGGGTTTCGGCCACACTGGCCTCCTTGCTCTTGTCTGGATCCTTCCTATCGCAGGGCATTTGCTTTTGCTGACCCTTCCCCGGGCCTTCACCTGAGCCCTTCCTGTTGTTGTGGCCTCAGCTATTCTGAGCCACCTTCAGAAAGCAGCCACTCCCACGTGACCCTGTTGTCACTGCCTTTACCAGGATTTATCTTGTTAATGTGATGGGGATCTCTCAACTCCTCCCACCAGCGTTTGTTCCCGAGGGCCTTGTCTGTCATGCCTTGCTCGTTCCCCAGGAAGAATGCCCAGAGCTCAGGTCCCTTCTGTGGACCTCAGAGTTCTCAGGAGGTTGGAGTCGTGGGCCTGCGTGTCCCCCTCTGACATCCACACAGCCCCCAGCAGCTGCCTGGCACACAGCAGGTGGTCGGTCCATAAGTGCCTGAACGAATAAACCTGTGGAAAATTGTTACTGGTACTAGCAATAGCAGCCACCATGACACATGACGGGAGGAGCCTGGGGCTCGGGGCTGTTACCTGCACAGGGGCCCAGAGCTGGTGAGGGCCGGAGCCACAGTTCCCACCCACGTGTGTCTCTCCAGAGCCTGAGCTGGAGAGATGGACGGACGGAGGACAGATGGGTGGATGCACGGGTGAGAGATGAGTGATCACTTGTTCTGTAAGTCCCCGGGTCCCAGGCAGGTGAGTCCATGGCCCAATGCTCCCCTGTCTGCTTCCTCCCTCAGCTTTCTAGCAGCCCCTGAACGGTGGCGAAAAGTGGAAAAGTGTGCAAGAACCAAGGAGCTGACGTGTTCTCTGATGTGCCTGGAGAAGCAGGACCTCTTCAACAAGTTCAAGGGCCGTGTGCGGGCGGTCTCTCCCAGCGCCAAGTCCCCCTGGGTGGAGTCCAAGTACCTGGAGTACCTTTTTGAAGGTAGGTCTGTGGGTAAGGGACTGAGTGGTAGGTTCTCTGTCCAAGAACTTGGCTCAGTGGCACTGCTGTTCAACCGTCTGTCTCCCACTTCCCCGACGCAGAGAGCATGTCCTGTCGGGCAGCACCCTGGCTGCGGCCCGGGTCCAAGCAGCCTGATTTCATGGCAGGGGGTTAGGGGAGTACCACAACGCCACAGTTCAGCTGGTACCTCCTACTATGATATTTATGATCTTCTATGGAGCACAGCCTTGATCATGAACCATACAGGCATTTATTATACTAGAAGGAAGGAAGTGTGGATGGAGAGAGGGAGGACAGGAAGGAAAGGCGGATGGGTAGGTCAGTGGTTAGCACAGAAGCCAGGCTGGCTGCGTAGGGAGGGCTGGAAGGAAGGGGCGGGAGAGGAGAAGTGAACAACCAAATGAAGGAAGGAAAATCAAGAAGGAAAGATATATGGGAAGGAAAGAAGGATGGATGGGTGAGTGGAAACGTAGGCTGATTGGCTAGAACGGATGGATGGGAAGGAAGGAATGTTGGCTGGGAAGGAAAGATGTGGAGGCAGGAACAGGGGCTGTTCTGCTAGAACAGTGGTTCTCAACCTTGGCTGCACATTAGATTCACCTGGGAATCTTTTTAAAATCCTGATTTCTGGGCCTCATCCTCCGGAAACTCTGTTCCTTTGTTACTGATGTTGTGGCCCCACCCCATAACAAAGAAACAGCATTTCCAGAGGATGAGGCCCAGAAATCAGGAGGGAGGCAGGTACAGGGGCTGTTCTGCTAGAACAGTGGTTCCCAACCTTGGCTGCACATTAGATTCACCTGGGAATCTTTTTAAAATCCTGATTTCTGGGCCTCATCCTCCGGAAACTCTGTTCCTTTGTTACTGATGTTGTGGCCCCACCCCATAACAAAGAAACAGCATTTCCAGAGGATGAGGCCCAGAAATCAGGATTTTAGAAAGATTCCCAGGTGATTCTAATATGCAGCCAAGGTTGAGAACCACTGTGCTAGAAGAACGATGAATGAATCACTGAATGGTTGGATAGATAGAAATGGAGGGAACGATTCAGAGAGGTGATGGCCTTTTTTTTTTTTAGTTACTTTTTTTGCCTCCTCCTCCCTGAAGCACTCCTGATTTTCCTTCAGCACACCCTAAGCCCGAATGACCCTTCCTGCCTTGTTCTGCCCTCCACTGTGGCCCTGGTCACTTTCTCTCTTGAGTTTTGGTAGTTTTCATATTTCATTTCCCCCTAATTTCTTTCAGTTCCTGCAGGGCAGGATCCATGGAGGCCTCATCTCCCTATTACCCTCAGCTCCTTGCCCAGAGCATAGTACATAGTCACTATACCCTAGACTCTGACCTGCAGCACTGTGAGATAATAGATATGGGTTGTTTTAAGCCACTAAGTGTGTGGTGCTGTGTTAGAGCAGCCATAGAAAAGTGATACGCAAGGGCCGGATTCCGGCAGGCTAGTGGGTATGTGAGGATACAAGGGACCACATGAATAAAGGCAGGTTAACTGTGAGTTTGGCCTGGTCATTTCACCTCTCTCAGCCTCCGTTTGCCCTTCTTTAAAATGGGACTCGTTATATCCCCTCCGGGGCTTAAATAAAATGGCCGGGAGGCTCCTGATTCCCAGTTCCCCTTTCCAGGACAGCTCTCTGGGCTGGACGAGGAGCAGGCTCACCTGGAGGCGGGGCAATGGGCGCACCATGGCCCCAGAGGGTACTGACAAGTCCTGTTCTGTTTCTGCAGTGGAGCCAGCCCCACCCGTCCTGGTAGTCACTCAGACAGAGAAGGTCCTGAAGGTCAATGCTACCTACCAGCTGCCCCCCTGCATGCCCCCGTCGGATCTGAAGTATGAGGTGGATTTCTGGAAGGAGGGGACTGGGAACAAGGTGGGAAGCCCCTTTCCTGCCCCCTACTTGTGCCCCCTTCCTCCACGGCCCTACCAAACCTCGGTGTCCTCACCCTCCCAGCCTCCTACCTGCACGCCTCCTCCAGGAAGCCTTCCTACATACCCTCACCTTGGCATATCCCTGCCCTTCTCCACCTAAGAGGCCAAGTACAGGGCGTCCTGTCCCTGTGCCTTACAGGTGCTAACAGCACAGGCATTTTCTAACTAATATATTTTTTAAATTATGAAACCTGTTGGGGTTTTTTTGTTTTTTGTTTTTTTTTACAATAAAATCTGATTGAACTATGGTGAGCTACAGGAGGCCTGCTTGCCCAGCCACTGGATTCATTATAGAAAAGTCAGAAAATACACATGAGCTCTACAGGGAAAACCAAAAGTATCAGAGATGACCACAAATAAGTCTTTGGTACCTATCCAGTTTCAGACTTGTTTTCTGTGGGTGCACCTGTGTCTGTCTGTCTGTATTTATTTATGGCAGGGTTGGCAAACTTTTTTTGTAAAGGGCCAGATGTAAACATTTGTGGCTCTGCAGACCCTGTAGCCCAGCGGTCGTCAACCTTTCAGACCTCGCGGACCACCAGTTGGCGACCGCTGCTATAGTCTGTCACCGCTACTTGGCTCTGCATCTGTAACACAAAAGGAACCAGAGACAATATGTAAATGCACAGGCTTAGGTGGTTTCCAGTGTAACTTTTTAAAAAGCTGGCAGCCAGGTCTGCCCACAGGCTGTATAGTTGACTGACCCCATCCTTACTCAGTTTTTCTTTCACTGAACCAACAGTCACACTCCTGGCCTCCTGCATCCTCTGGTTCCCAGGATGTACTCCACTTGATGTGGTCCATGCCTTCAAGAACCTTACAAATACCCTAGACCAGTGGCCGGCAAACCGCGGCTCTCGAGCCACATGCGGCTCTTTGGCCCCTTGAGTGTGGCTCTTCCACAAAATACCATGTGCGGGTGCACCCATACAATGCGATTGAAACTTCGTGGCCCCTGCGCAGAAGTCGGTTTTCGGAAAGGAGATAGACGAAACAAGTATACAAGACGAGTGTGGATGGGAGAGTTGGAAGGGGTCGACCTCAGCGGACGTACCTCAATCAGATTGAGGACATTTTTAGCAAAGGCCAGCTTAGGAGTACCCTAATTAAGTTAATAACAGTGTACCTACCTATATAGTTTAAGTTTAAAAAATTTGGCTCAAAAGAAATTTCAATCGTTGTACTGTTGATATTTGGCTCTGTTGGCTAATGAGTTTGCCGACCACCGCCCTAGACCAGTGCTCTCCAATAGAAATGTAATGCAGCCCTGGCCGGTGTGGCTCAGGTGGTGGGGCATCATCCCGTGCACCAAAAGGTCGCCAGTTCAATTCCTGTCAGGCCACATGTCTGGATTATGGGCTCTATCCCTGGTAGAGGGTGTGCAGGAGGCAGCCCATAGATGTTCCACTCTCGCATTGATCTCTCTCTCTCTCTCTCTCTCTCTCTCTCTCTCTCTTCCTCTCCCTCTCCCCTATCTCAAAAATTAATAAAAATATTTTTTAAAAGAAATGTAATGCAAGCCTAATGTGTAATTTTAAATGTTCCTTGTTAAATTAAATAAAAAGAAACAGGTGAATTTAATTTTCATAATATACTTTAATTCATCCAATAGAATGTTATCGTTTCAACATGTAATTAACATAAAAGTTATTGAGATACAGTGGGGCCTTGACTTACGAGTGTCCCGACTAACGAGTTTTTTGAGATACCAGCTGTCTCTCGGCCGATTTTTGCATTGAGTTGATAGAGTAATTTGAGTTAACGAGCTCCTTAACGAGCTTGGTCTCGGAACGAATTAAACTCGTAAGTCAAGGCCCCACTGTATTTGACATTCTTCTTCCCTTAGTCTTGGAAAGCCTATGTGTATTTTATACTCAGAGTCCATCCCAGTTTGGACTGGCCACACTTCAGGTGCTCAGGAGCCACATGTGGCCAGTGGCTACTGCATTGGATGGGCGCCCAAGAGTTTTCTGTGTCTGTGATGGCAGAATGATGCCCCCCAAATAAGTTGGGATGCCCTTGGGGCAGGAAGTCTGAGGGATATACCCCTCAAAGTGAAGGCCAGCAGTCCCTGGGCAGGGGGCTGGGGGTAGGGGGCAGGGAGTGACCCTGAATGGCAAGGGTGCTTTTGAACCCAGACCATCTCTATCTCAAAACTCAGCAGAAAAGAAGCCAGATAGTTCTTGGAAGTGCTTCTTGAACACTTGAACTTGATTGCAGGAAAAGAAGTTGCAGGATCCCAGCTGCCAACCCCACCCCATCCTGGCTGTGCAGAGCCGGTTCCCACAACAGGTCTGCTCACCTCTGCTTCTTTCTCCAAACAGACCCGATTTCCAGCCACTTCCCATGGCCAGCCAGTCCAGATCCCCCTCCAGGCGGATGCCAGTGGATACCACTGCCTCAGCGCCAGAACCATCTACACCTGCGGTGACCCTAAATACAGCGAGTTCTCCAAGCCCACCTGCTTCTCCCTGGGGACCCCAGGTGGGTGCAACATGGTACAGCCTGGAGGACTTTCCCTGAGCGTCAGGATCTTCATAATGTGGTGGTTAGGAGCATGTGTCTAGAGACAGGCTCACCTCGATTAAAACCCCGGCCCTACCACAGTCACTGTGTGTCTTTGGGCAGCTTCCCTAACCTCTCTGAATCTTGGTTTCCGAAATTGGGAGCATGGGTTTATTCTTATGAGGACTGAGACTAGGATGAGGTATGAAAAAATAAATAAATAGGATTGTGTGTGTACGTGAAGCCCCCAGAACGGATGCAGTCGGTAAACTGGAGCCGTTGTTGTTGCTTCTTCATCCTGATTATTTTTCCTAGGAGTCCACTGGGCATTCCTGGTGCTACTACCACTTCTGCTGCCGCTGCTGTTGGTTATCACCACGGGCTGTGTGATCTGGAGGAGCTTCAGAGGGAACCCCTGGTTTCAGCGGGCAAAGATGCCACAGGCTCTGGTACGGCACATCTGGGGATGTGCACCTGAGCAGGGAGGGTTGTTGAAGAGCAAGGGAGTGGGGCTAGACTTAGCGGTAGTTCAGACGGATTGGCAAGGTGGCCCAGACTGCAGAGCATCCTTCCTTTGTATCTAAATTTCCACTATTAGTAATTCATTCCTTTGGCACCAAATTCAAATACCTGGGAGGGAGAAGTGCCTACAGTCCCTGTGAGTTAAGTAATTGCATCTCTGCTCAGGATTTGTCAGGTGCCGAGAGCAGAACCCCCAGCCTTGAGATTCAGGAGAGATGCCCAAAA